AATTTTAGGTAGGTTTTAAGTTTTGTTACTTTAAAAAAAATTTAAACTTAGTACACATTGTACCAGATAGATTTCGTTTGTTGGTACTTGTGAGTGAATAAGGTTAAAAAAAGTAAATATATATATATATATATATATATTAGGCCGCTTTGGAGGAATCAAGTAGAGCCGTCATTTTCAAGTCCTGGCCCCTACCTGGATGACTGCAGAAATAAAAATGTTGAAATCCATCTTGATAAATGCGATTCTGAGATTTCAAACCATCACTGCCAGTTTCAGATCATTTTTTATTCCTTTGATAATAACACTTCCCTTTGAAAATGTGCCAATTTATTCTTTCAAGAAAAAAGCTTATCTGGCCTATAATTAGCTGTGGTCTAAGAAAAGGATCAAAGGAGGGTCGAGAATCGCTCAGCCTTCTTTCACTCATTAAATCATGCATGTGGTTCTAATTTCATTTCCCTGAGGTAGGATTTTGGGGTGCTGGATCTTCTTGCTAAGGAAAGGAGGAGAAAGGCTTCATTTCCCAAGCAGAAGAAATGGCTTCTCAACCCCTATCCTTCAAACCGCTGGCTTTAAAGGGGTGACCTGACCTCCAAGAGAAACAAACCCCTCCCATTGCTGGCATCTGTACGGATGAGCGGAGAGACTGGCCCTACATCCAGACCGCAGGTGATGCGGCTACCCCGAAATCTAATGATCTGTTGCTTGAATCTTGCATTCTTAAATTTACAGATCTTGCTACCTCTCAGGGCTCCGAACTGAATTATGGCCTTGGAGAGTATCTTTAAATAACGTTTACATTACTAAGGTTGGGTCCATTCAGACATTTTCATTTAGCCCTGAACATACTGTTAATACTTCTTGCCATTTGCTGACACCAGAAATATGCTTTATGGTTTAGATGGTCTCTAGGATGTTTTTTATTTAAAAAAAAAAAAAAAAACCAACCAACAACCAAAAAATAGCTTCTAGGTAGGTGTGCTTTCCTCTCTAATTTGGATCAAGCCAGAAATGATTGGCCAGCCCAGCAAAGAGGTTTCCCAGACTATTTCTGGATGATTAACTCCCCAAATCATGTCACCTGCATTAAAGAAACAAAACAAAACAAACCAAAACATGGGAAGAAAGAATTCTTTTGCAAAAGAATTCAGGAAGTGAAACACAGTCCTCAAATGTTCAGTGGGCGTAAGACAAATTGTTAGCGCTGTATATATAGCAAACGCCTTACAAACACGTTGGATGCCAGAAATAAACAATATTGTCTCTGTATGATCAGCAAAATATGTCTAATTATCCATCTCCATCTCTGTTATATAGGATGTATAGAAATAAACAATACATATCCATGCCAAGATCACTTAAATTTAAATTAGAGCTAATGTGAACTGAATACACACTCAGCATCATATATAGCAGCCATCCATGACGGTGCCGAAAAAGTAGGCATTTGTGGGATGCCTAGAGGGATGTTAACTGGTAGATTTGGTACTTTGGGAAGGTTCACATTGGGTAGGTTCACATTGGGTAGATTACTGGTTAAACTCCTGTGGAAGAAACAGACAGAAAGAAAAAATACCATCACAGTGACAATGCAGATGTGGCAGAAGCACACGACAGTTGTAAATAAACCGGCTAAATCCACAGCAAGACAACAGCGAAAACTTAAGTGACACATTTCAGAAAGCAGCTTACGGATGGGGAGCTGTGGTGTGGCTCAGTCTTTAGAAAGAAAAGATAAAAGTGAATGGGGAAAAAAAAATGAACCACAGAGCGACTTAAAAGCGTGGACACTCATGGACCCCTATATACAATGATCGTGTTATTTAGATGTCTTTGTGAGGGGCCTTCAGCTTTCAGATCCATTGCCATGTGGGTCTAGACCTTGTCTCGTACTAAGAACTTGAAGTTCATGGAATTCTTGGCATTGCTGTGGCAAGGGCTGCAGTGAGGTGGCTGGGACAAAGAAATGGCGGAGAGCTTTCATTTTCTTACTCTTATTTACAAATGATTTTTGATAGAGGCACATTTCTTAAGTCAGATAGTAGATACAAGACAGAACAGGAAATTCACCCACTTGAATGCATACATAATGGTAATGGACAGAAATGGAATTCTTTCCAACTGCAGCTTACTTCTGAAGACAGGTGTATGTGCGATGAAGCATCAGAGTTGACGGCCAAGATAAAGGAATTGGATCAAGAAGAATGATGAAGTTTGCACGATGTTTTAGAGCACTTAAAGAAAATGGAAACATCCCCTTCCAAACTAAGTCCAGGTAAAATGGAGAAATGTTTACACTCCAAAAAAAAAAGGGGGGGGGGGGAAGAAAAGGATCCCCAAATTCAGCTCTTACAATAAATTCTTTGACCACGAGTGGATTTAAAATGCAGCCTTCTGTTATAAGCAATTACCCTGGAAATTGAGATAAAGACTGGAAAAAGGCACGACAAAGGCTTGTGGGGGGGCTGTGGGTGCTCCCTTTCCGGATCTGTGTGATTGTTACATGGATGTGTTCGACTTGTGAATATTAATCAAACTTCATATTTTCTGTAAAAAGGTTAACATTTAAGTTAAAAATTAATAAACAGTTAAAAAGGTGATCTCTTATCAGCTTTTTGTGTTTTGAACAAAGATTCATCAAACTGATGGGATGAAAGAGAGATGGATGGCTTTATGAGTCAAGAGAGAAAATAAAACCAAACAAAAACCCCCAAGCGAATCGACCATATCTCTTGGGAGGGACTGTACCATATACTGCTCAGCACGCTGGCACCGCATGATTCTGTAGTGGCATTTTAAGGGTGTTCCATCCAGCCAAAGTCACTGGCACAGTGGAGCCCAGCCTAACTGCATCTGAGAGGAGCCTTCCTGTTTAAGTGGAGTTGACAGCATTTTGGCAAAGAAGTTGAGGTTTTCTTTTTGGATCTTGCAGGAGAAGAGCAAGTTTTGCCAAAGCAGCTCTGCCCCGGGCAAGCTGTATTTGACTAACACAACTCTTGAAAGGGTTGGAGCTGCCTCTGGGCTTGCTTCGGGGGCCAAACCTCCCGAGAAGTCCAAAACTGTGGACTCTGGACACAGTCTGGACACCTGTCTCCCTCTAGAATCAAGCTACCTTTTCACGATGGGAATACAGCCCTGGCTGGTAGATGGAAACACTTGGAATGCAAAAGTGCTAAGCTGGTATTCTCTCCCTTAAGGGAAACAGGTATCTCACAGGTTGGTCCTTTACACTTCACGACTGGGGAAAGCCAATGACACTTTTCTACTAGGGACAAAAGGGCGCTCTCGTGGGAACAGTCAAGGGAAGATGAGCTAAAGCTGACTATTAAGCGGAAGGGAAAATGGAACTTTTCCTTCCATGTTTCTCTGTTTATCTGGGGAATTTGCGTTTGAATTCGGTCCCTGGTGGTTCTCAGTCTTAAACACTGCTATGTAACAAAATCGTTGGCGATTTCCACTGAGACATGTGTAAGCTTATATAAGCAAATGTGATCATTAAATGATACACACGCTGAATATTGATCAAGGAATTAGGAGATCTTTCGAGATGGCAGCCTGGAAAGTTAAAATGTCAATTCTGAGCAAATTGAAAAGTAGCTAGGAATGAATAACACATAAATGTATGCAAAAGCAACTTAATTTAAACATATTAGCGGATGGTGGGGACACAAATTAGAAATGAGCTTTGTTTTGCACGTGAAGATTAAAAAAAACTTATATTAATCAAAACATATTGTATTTGTAAAATATGACGTTTTGGCTGGACTGCTGCACTGGATTCACAGGAACATTTCCTTCCTATGATATATTATCATGATCTACTTTTAAAAGGCGGACGAAACATGCTTGCTATTTCTGCTTTTAGCAAAATAGTGTAGTTAGCGTATTACTGATGTTATTAAGAATTCAGCTGGATATTAATAACTTACATTAATAATCAAAGAGGCAATTTCAAGCATTATATGTGACTAATACACATGTGAAAAGGGGGAGTTTTCTAGGAGCACTCAGGTCAGACCAGGCCTGAAGCTGCTGATGGATATAACAAATTATCATTTTAGAGGACCCGTTACCAACTACCTAAAAATAAGTCCAGCATGCTTCTCTGTGAAAATTATAATTGGGTATCTCTGGATAGTGTACGAGTGTAAACTGCAACCTTAACAACTGATGTATGTTAAAAATCAGACTCGTTCATCTTGGGGACTGCGGAAAAAGGATCGCTCCCATTCAGGTCAAAGGACCCCCCACCCCCACCCCGGAGCACTGCATTAAAAGAGTCTGCTCTCTCTCCTGTGGATGAAAGCCACAAACGTGTGCATGTCTCCTCATTTCTATGGACGGTAAAGTCATTCCTTACTTCTAGGATCCATTCTAATAAGGTGATGTCTCTGTGCAGAGAGGACACGGTTGGGTCTTAAAGTCTTCTGCTTTAGATTTGTGGATGGGTTAGACTTCAGACACAGAATGCCTCCCATTGAGCGAGCCATTTGTTGGCTGAATAGATGAAGTACGTCCCGCCTTCTCTTGGTGCTCGGAACCGTGAACCCTCTCCCACTGCTTACTCACTCTTGGGTCTCATCCTTACTCTGGGGCACGGGGCAATCTTAGATATCTTCCTAGAGTTTAAGGGGGTATTTCTCAAGCTTTTATCTATTATCACCACCAGACCCCCACAACTGCCTTCTCCATGAAAGTTGAATACCACCAAGATATCTGTTCATGTACTGTGCATAGACCTTTACACAAATACATAAAAAGTGTAAGATTTTTGTTTGTTTGTTTATTTGCCTTTCCCCTGCCTCCAAGAACCAATTTTCACCATCCTTGGGAGCTGTAAAGCCCCTGTTTAGAGTGTGTGACCTAGAGAATCAAGCTCTAAACATCATGGGATTTTTAGAATCTCCCAACTGTCTCTCCAACTTTATGGCTTGCCTCTGGTATAATCCATGCTGGCCCCAACCGAACATTCACGGTTTCTACTGCTTACCCCCTGCTCCCCCAATTTTCCTTACGCTTATGCTCTTTCCTTGCACCCCTACCCCTTGCAAAATAGCCCCCAAGCTATTTCCTTTATGACCTCAGTGGGGGTTCATTCCCTTCCACCTGCACGCTCATAACTCTTTCTTACGTTCTTTGTACATTTGTACATCGGTAAACATTTAAAGTCATTTTTCTTAGGTGCATGTTGCTCAGACATGATCAGTGGAAAACATCTTTTCTTTCTTTCTTTCTTTTTTTTTTTTTTGCTTTTCTCTCCCCATACTTTTCCTATGGTATCCTTACAATTCTCAGCCTGTGTGGGTTCCTTAATAAACGTCAGTGAATCAGTAAGTATTTATTGAATGCCTGTTATGTCCCCGGTCCTGTTCTAGGTGCTGGGGGTGGGGGGGGCAGTGCTGATTAAATGCGTATGTGGGCTGAATACGGAAAAACCACATTTCCCAGACTGTTAGTGTTGGGAACTCTTGGGTATTCAAAGTTCTGGTTTTACAAAGGAGGATACTGAGGCTCAGGAAGGTCATCTGACTTGCCAAGTCACCCAGCAAGTTAGTGGCAGAGTTACAAGTTCTGACTTCTAGTCTAGTACTTGCCTATTTCATATCAGGCCACCTACACATTGCTAAGGTATCTGTGGTCTGACATTTTATCATCATTAAGGTATTGACATCTGGGCCAATCTGGGAAAAGACATTATTTTAAAAACACTTTTTTCCATGTGGATATCTCAGGCAGAGAGAGAGAGTGTGTTCTGAGAAATGAGAAACCCACATTTTTCAGAGTGTATATCAGTTCAGAGTCATCCTGACCTGGAATGGGGAACTGTGAACAGCGGATTCCTCGTGCCTGGGAGCGTTTAAGTGGAGATGGAGAGATGATCTCTCACGGAAAGAGTGGTCCAGAGGGCTGTCTAGACTTGGCAAGCTTTGGGTTGGATGCTTTCTAAGTTTTCTTCCACATAGAAGCCAGGATGACCCGACTAGCATCACACCAACTCCCAAGAGCTGGTACATAAGTTGTCTATCTGCTAGGTAGGACCAAAAGCTCATACTCAGGGCTGCCGGGAAGGTTGTGAACAATCAGCTCGGCGTGGGTGGTGGCCCTGTGACGTGTCCTGATGGATACCTCCATGGGGGCTAAGGGCTCCAGCAAGGGCCTGGCCTGAGGAGGCTGGTTACATTCAGCTGTGATTGGAAGCTATGGGATGGCATTTTCCACCCATGCAGAGAGATTCAAATTGTGACTATCATCTGGTTTCCTGGAAGCAGAGATGCAGCTTCTTTCTCCGCTCCTCACAGAGACAGAAGGTCATCTTTCCAGAGAAAAGCAGCAGTGAGATCTTAAGCCATTTCTCCCTCCCTAATCACATAACTTCAACTGTATCAAACCCAAATGATGATGGCATCTGTTTTTCTTTTACAGGACCGTATTTTGAAAGAAGATCTGAAGAATGAAGGATATTTAAACCTCGTTTTTAGCAACTTCAATATCTTGGTACCATTTTCTTGTCAGAGTTCTGTTCCTTTAACATGTTAAATATTCTATTGACTCTTAAACAACGCAGGGGTTGGTGGGTAGGGGGGCCACAGACCCCAGTGCAGTTGAAAATCCACATATAACTTTATGTTTAGCCCTTGGCTCTGTGGTTCCTCCTTATCCTTAGCTGCGTATCTGTGGATTCAGCCAGTCTCTGACCACGTAGTACTGTAATACTTACTGCTGAAAAAATCCACGTGTAAGTGGACCTGTGCCATTCAAACCTGCGTTGTTCGAGGGTCAACTGTACTGGTTTTTCTGCAAGCAGATTTGGTGGTGCATTTCTCAGTCATGTTACCGATCATCAAGTGCCCGTAAGAACCACTTTTGAAAAGTGGAAGAGCAGAAATATTTGAGTATACTAAGTGTTTGAGAGAAAGTCTGTGCTGTGTATTGGAGGGTCACGTCGCAACATTCGAGAAGAGGAAGCAAATTCAATCTATTTATCTAGTCGGCATCTTACTTTTGAGTAAGCTTGATGAAAAACATTCCAAAAAGATCATTCTTCACTTAGAAAAAAAAACTGCTGCTTCTTGATCAACCCTCTACCTAGCGATCAGATGGATGTTCATACTTTGTTTCTCTTTGCACAGTAAAAAGTATTTAGACTCGTTCCTCTTAGCACGTAAGCGTGTTCCCAATTTTTTTTATACCCTTCATTTTGTGCCGGCTATTCTGCAGATCTGTCCCACAGCATCCACGTTCTGTGTGCAAGTCAGCTAATAACATGTATGTGATCTCAAAGAATTTTAACTTAGCTTATGTTTTCGTTGGCACTTTCTCCAATACCTCCACCTACTCTGAAAAGCACGAACTGTTTAGCATGATTTAAACAAACCACGGTCCTGTTCACGAGCCAAGAGCACAGTTCGGGACAGCGAAAAGCTACTTAAAGAAAAACACATTCCCACAAAACATTCTCAGGTTATTATTCACAACTATTAATCCTTCGCTAATTTTCAGATCTTTAAATGGGTGATCCAAGTATTCAAATTTTGTTTTTTCACTCATTAAAAAAACTTACGTATACTTGATCAGTCAGAAGTAAAGGTGGAATCAAAACCATTTTCACAATTGGAAGTCTTAGTCTAAATCATTCCCAG